ATAACCTGCTCGAACTTCGAAGAAGGATAATCAAAATGAAATCAACTTATTTTCACTGAATAGTTAGAAAAATAAACTTATCACATTCGCTTTAATCAATCATCTCTAGATGGGCATTTCCAAAAACAACGATTTGTACTATGCACCTTTATATCTTTACAAATCAACCAGAACGCTTCCTCCCCAAAATAATCTCTTTGACTTAAAAAAAAATAAGGAACATTATAATGCCTTGCAGACAAAAAAAATAACCCTCTGAAGTAAAAAAAATAGACGTGACTCCCCATTCCACTGTAATCGTTTTGTAAACAATATTAAATAAAGTTTAACATCTAATTTAACAATAGTGGTTCTTCTACATAAACATAATATTAATGTAATAATAATTTATGTAGCTTAAGTAATATTTGTCATTAAATATCAGATTTGATGATAATTTTTGAAATAGCTAGCCACTAAGTTTTGTTTATCCCCAAATTTAAAGGTCGAGTTTCCCCAGACTTCCTCGTCCAGTTAAGGACGCGTACACTTTTCGTCATAGAGAAAAGTGGGATTGGGGATTGTCATGATTTCCTGACAATCGTCTGTCACAATTTATTATCCTATTGACTCTTCTGATTGTTCATCTTCGTCATATTCTCTGAGTTCCTCTTGACTATGATCCACCGCTCCTTTTAGTCGACTTAAGTGCTCATTTTCTACTCGCAGAAAATTCCATACGAATCGCCTGGAAAGAGAACATTTCACAATTAGTTATGCAACTAGATCATGGCATATCAAACGCTCAGGACTCGTGCGCAGTTTTGCGCAAACAAATTAAGACTTTTTCCACAATTTTTCTTCTCAACAATACGAGTCAAAACAATTAAGTAGACACCGGTTGGGTAAAAATACCGACTTCTTCATTTTTAGTTAAGGCTATCGTAATTTTTTAAAATCTTCTTACAGTCTTAAAACTGTTTTAAATCATAACATCTCTTTTCAAGAACAAACGATTCAGTTCGCACGCCACATCATAAAAGTAGCAGTTTTCTCTTACAAAGATTGCTAAGCTAAGCAATAACTGCTTTCAGGGAAACCTATAACCCACCGCCTTGAGAGGTCAGGACTTTCACTAAGTAACGCAACAAACACAAACGGAGTTCTGCGCCTGTCACGTAATACTCTCTCTTCGTGTAGCAAGTCCAAACAAAAGTTAAAAAGCCAACTAGTACCACTACTGACCTAAATACTTCCAACACCGCTAGTAATGCTGTGAGGACTTCAGAATGAAACAGTCCTGCTTCACCAACTGATACAGTCAGGACCCAGGACAAGCGAAGAAAGAGATTGCTAACCAACGCAAAGTAATAAAACCCCTGCAGAAAGAAGAGAAAAATAATTCATTTGATAAGGACATTTTAATTCGAAAATATAACTACAAAATACGCGGGTTCCTTTTCTGGCCTATTTCCGGGGCTACAAGTTCCCCTTAGCCCACGGGTGGAGTGTAGAATGAAATACAGAATTTTCCCTCCATCCTTATTCCACAACTAAATTTTTCCCATACGATATTTTACCGTTTCTTAAAAAAATTTTCTTATCTGTTGCTCATCGCGATCACCTGTGACCCAAGCTATTTTTCTTGGCCTAGTCCTTTTCCACGCTGAAGGCCATCCCGACCCATGTGCCCAGGTCGCGATGGCCTCAATGACCCTAGATGTGGAAGTTAAACTTCGTTCCCATGCCTCTACTTACCAAGCGTTTGAATAGCAACTTGGCTCTAAGATATCCGTGACTAGAATCCATTAGTCCCCAATCCATTCTCACATCCCACACGTAGGTGTAACACGAACTGATGAACGCCGAGAAGATCCAAAACAGAAAGTAGAAATCCATCTGCTGTTTACCAGTATTTTCTGTCGATAGAAAACAATATGTTAAGTTATCTCCCTTAAAGATAAAAATTACATGAAAAATACAAAAGTCAGTTTTGTACAGGCCCATATCGAACCAAAGTAAGATTACAATGAACATGAGGGAGACCAAAAAATATTTGTGTGGTAAAATAAACACACACACACAAAAAAAAACAAAACAAAACTAAGACACTGAACGCAGACTGCAAATGAGGAACTTCGAAAAATTTCCGCCAAATTTTTCAAGATGCACGAACTACGACGTAGCTCTTTTAAGGCCAACTTAGATCGGTTTCTGCATTTTTGCGATCTAATTTATCGGCCGGACTATATTTAGGAAAGGGTGAAATATGAAAAGGAAACCATAAAAACTTTCATTATATGCCTTCTTTCACATTCAACTAACTTCTCCATGAGTGATACCTTTGTGAGTTGTCGCCACTGTTGAAAAGAATACAACAAAGAACGTTGTGGAATATTTCCCAGCATTCGCAAGGTGTGGGAATTTCTGTTTTGTGTCATCGTATCTGCGCAGACTCTGCGCAAAGCGCCACCACGCAGGGAGACAAGCGATCAGCGGTCTCAGCCCATACAGTTTGCTACCGCATTTACTTCGGTCTACAAGAGAAATAAAACATAGAATGTAAGTGAGTCAATACCCTCAGAAAGTGTGATATGATGGTTACGATATACGGGGGAACACTTCCCACAGATATCCTGCGTGTAGAGGTTTGCTCGAGGGAATTTTCTCCCACAAAAGGACAGACAAGAAATTAGATAAAGAAATATAGATAAAATAACGCAAGAACGAGTACTAGCAACTCTGAACATATGTATTAAGACTTCTTTTGACTCCATCCAGTTGACGTTTTCATCAAAATACAAAATTCGCTTTTTCTCTTCTGACTGGCCTTTGGAGCGTAAGAAGTTCGGCAGACACGGAAAGACCCCGAAGCAAGCCGAAAGAAAACCACTTAACACCAATGGTGCTGCCTTCGGCAGATTCCGACAAACCCGACTACGGCGCGAAGGAGGACGAAGTTGCACCGATAATGATGGTTTCGGTAGATCCTGGCAAACCCGACCGCAACCCGAGGGAAGACGAAGTTGCACAGATTACGAAGGCCTCGATAGATTCAGAAAAACTCGACAGCAGAAAAGGCAAAGGAAAATGAAATTGCAATGACTGTTAGCTCACCTTGAACAGAGTAGTAGTCAAGTGCGTAAAAACAAGACATATACTCCATATCCAGAATAGCAACTACAAGACTGTTTAGCTGATCTGCAAGCCAGAAGTCGGCAAATCCTACATGGTGGAACGGCGCTGTCAAAACTCGCCACTGAAAAAAAAAAGAAAAACAAAGAGCAAATTAAATTTGTTTTAACAACTTGCTGTTAAAATAACTAGTCGGGGATAGCTACAGATTCTGAACTATCTCAGAAAAAATTCCTACGTGCCTATGAACGAATCTATTTTGACGAGGTCAACAATTTGTGTCAATTTGTGTCAAGGAGTAAAATTACCTACAACCTCGGACGAACAAACACCGAGAGACACGCAATAGGGTTTCCGGTGTTGGACATTACTGAGATTAGTTTAACGTATTTTCTTCGCAGAATTGTCAGTTTTTCGACTTTTGATATCCACTTTTTTCCTATACGCTTATCTTTTCCCTTGACCTTATCACTTTTAAAAACGCGGATAACATCAGTTCTTTAGAATGTTTAGGCCGTCTCACTGTTTAAGCGACATTTCTAACAATTTTAGACCCCAGTGCCCCCTCTGTTATCTAAGGGAACTGTCATTTCAGAGAACGATGAGGCGAAACGAAGAAGTCAGAAAGAGTGAATTGAGGAGAAATCGTGTGGGAATTAATCCACAAAATTAGAGAGGAATGAACATTATACTTACAATTGCCCTAAGAAGCCAGAATCTTGCTTTTCTTAAACAGAAGTCAAGCGTGTTGATACCGAAAATAAAAAAGAAACAAGCTAACGCAATTGGATGGAAATAACGCGGCAGTCCAAAATGTTCAGAGAAAAGAAAAACCACAGCACTTGTTCCCCATAGGACGGCGAAGAACAACGACATCTATTGAGAGACAGAGAGAACACAGATACAGTAAAACGTCAACAAAGTTTATTCAACATATTCAAGTGCCGTACAGTTACCTTTGATGAACACCAGGACAATGAAAACTGCAATCTTGTGCCGAGATTTTGTCACAAAATTGATACCGCTGGGTTCAGCGTTTAGCAAAATTTCTACGCTGATGCAAAAAGCTTCAGAAGAGTAAAATGTTCTGATATTGATGAAAACAGTCTAAAATGCAATAAATTGTGAGCCTCGAAAGTCCCTCATTCATCCAGATTGATTTTAATTTTAAGAGAGGGAGGCAAAGGGTTTGCGAGTGGCGCATGACAAGGCCCAAAATTAATATTTGACACGAGAATTTTACAGAAAGGTAAGGCAAGCTAAGATTTGAAGTTTTCCCTTTAAAACTTGTGAAGTGTGAAGTTCTGCTTAAAGTGCCCGAGACGCGCGAATTTTTTACTAAAAATTTGTGCATGAAACAGAATCTGGACCCCCACCCCCCTCGCTTTGCTACCATCTTAATACGAACTTCATCGCGGTATAAAACTGTTACAATTTCAGATAGAGAGTTTACTTTGAATCTGCTGGGGATCAGAAAGGTGTCATGGAGGGGGGTGGGGAGGGGGTTTAGAAAATTCACGCGTACATCTCACGAATCTTACCTCTAGCATTCGAAGAGGGCAAAGACTATTCTTTAAGTCACAGATATGTGCAGGGTTAATACCCACTGATTTCCAGCCGTATAAATTGATTCCAAAGAAAAAAAATTCTAGTACGAACAGAAACATTCCTCTATACATGCGGAACGCTGGTTGCCATTGGATATCATTGTCCGCCCGAATTGCTAAAAAAACAAAAATCATTAAAATGTCAGGTGACAGTCATTATTTTGCTATTTTCAACATTTTGACATCTTCCTACTGCGTTGGTAACAACCGCGACGAAGCTTGCTAAAAAATATTTCAATCGAAGATACAAATTATATCCCTCAGGAGAAGGAAAGCGGGTGTCAGAATTCTCATTAAACAGCTGTGGAAATATTTGGCTAAGGAACAGCCAACTGTGAACTCTCTACAATAGCGTTTGCTTTACATGGATAATTGACTAGTAATTTGATTGTGACGCAAGTACTTTCTTAGTTGTTATGGTTTGTTGGCCGAAACCGGAAAAGCAAACCTCAGCAGGGTAAAATTTCGTATGGTCAGTTATTGAAAAGTTCTCGGATACGCTTTCCATTACATCAAACCCAAACATTAGATGAAAAGATCGCCATAAAACTGCCATGATTGCATAAGGGCGCCCTATTACCGTGACTTGGAACTCTTCACCCGATTTACGACACAATCATTATATCTTGAAAACCTTCAGCATGTACGAACGACTTTTTCGACACATAGTTACAAGAGTTTGCCACTGTTTTCATACCTGCAATAACTAGCACGGTAAACAACACGAAAAACATGCCACTCAGAATACCCAGCCGAAATATAAGCCAAGTTTGATAAGCCTGCAAAACAAAGCAATAGTATAAACAATATTAGCAATCAGTTATGAATCGTTGCAATTAAAAAATGGTTCACCTCGGGAAAGAAGCACACGCCAAACCTTGTTCGACTCCGTGTCCACTGAGCAATTTTCAGGTTCAGTTTTTTGATGGTAACTTTTGTCCTCTATCGCTTCGCCAGCTTCACACCCCTAACATTACAAAATCGACAAGAGAGAGAGACTGATAATTAACAAAATAATTTCTGTGGCTACACATTTTTTTTGACAATTCAAAACTTAGGAAACACGATACCAACAAGAAGGGCACACGATTTCCCAATTTCCGCCCGATTCCAAATGATTTCCTATCAGAACTTGAGCGGAAATCAAAACCTGGAGAAAAATCATCTCCGTACAGAGAGCAAAGGCTGAACAATCCTTGAAAAATAACCAAATCTTTGGTGAATTTTAAGTAAAATACTAATCGGTTGCTGCGCAAACTACGCAACGGGAAAAATCGATTATCACCGTTTCCGACAGATTTTAAAACATCACTCGATCCGTTTAAATTTTTTTTTTAAACATAACAAAACAAGACTGCCTTTATAATTGAATAACAGCTTCGTGTATTTTTCCCATGGGAATTGAAATGTAACAGGGAATAAATTAAATTTGTTTTTAAAAATCACAACAAAAGCAATACACAGCAATAAAGTGACAACGGAAATATTGAGATAGGATCAAGCGGTATCGGATGACTGATAGACGTACCATGGCGAAACGCAGGGAGGCCGAAATCACAGCGATCCCTTCAGTAGAAATTTCTTAAACGACCGCACACGAAAAACGTAGCGATTACGCTGCACAAGTGAACCTTAGCAGCAAAGCCTCGTTTAAATTCAAATGAATGAACTTTGTATTCAAATAGCTTATTTGCTGTTTTCATGCATAATGATTTTAAATACCCCGAGCGAAATTTATTGTACGAATTTATAACTGAATTTACCTGGTAGGTCTGAACTTTGCGATACCTGCGAAGATACGCCTTTGCTCTTCTCTTCTTGCCAGCTTCGCCATCGAGAGTTTGAACAGCAATCATCAACCCTTTGAAATGCATCTTAGATCGCTCGCAGTATGACCGAAGTTGATATTTTGAACGCAGTCAAAATAACCCGACGCAATGCATGTACAATATTATGTGATCAATTCCCTGCTCGGGGAAGTAAGGAAAACAAGAGATGTAATTATTTTTATGAACGGTTTTGCATTCAACGACACTTCAAGGAGAGAGTTGGAAGGGAGAGGGCAGAAGAACGAAGTACGATGTGAAGGCCAAAGGGAACACGGTAAGGTTTGCGCAGAATAAAGTAGTATTATAATATGTCACGTGTGAAGAATCGACCAGTTAGAGGATGTGTAGCTAGGGTGTGTTTCCGGCAAACAATAGAGATAATAAATAACCTGAGACCTTGGCCAAGGTAACATCACAAACCTCATGAATATTATTTGTCGCATAATTAGGCATTTATTATTTGTAATTTCCTTCGACAATCTGGATAAATCTTTGGTTGAGCTGCTCAAAGCGAGCTTATCCGCGTGGTTAACTTGTGTCTGCATAGTGTCGATACACGGTTTCCAGTTTCAAACGGAAACGTGGGCTAAAATTAATCTTTTAGCAGTTTAAAATTTTGGATCAGGCGTTGGAGCAGGCTATTGCTTGTTTGTACGTAGTTAGCCTGACGTCGCCAAAATCCAAAACTTAACGGTTACCATAATTTCCCTTCTTTGCTTACCAGGCATAAGTAGCGATGAAGTGAAAACTGTTTACATCGTGGCAGATCAAGAAAGCCGCTCGCGCGTGACTTTGACTAAAAAAATTGTATTCAGCGTCGTGGTGTGTACATTAATTATGCGATTTCTAGCTATTTTAGCCAAACTGTTAATACCAAATCAATGCTGGTTTGTTCAGAATGGATAGACAGTCGCCCAAATAAGCAAAAGAAGGTCCAGTTGTTTTCATCGTTATATATGTTTAGGGAAAACGCTCTAAAAACTCTGGTGGGGGAGAGAACTTAATAACGGCTTTAAAAGAGACTATTCTATGTGGTGATGATTCGATTTAACGCTCGGGGCACTTCCTTACGATGGTGTCTCTATGGTATTTATCTTGCTACCTCCAGGGAGGGCGCTTATTCAAAACAGGGCGCCTATTTATTTTGTTTTAAGACAATAGAATGTGCAAAACAAGGCTTTGGTGTTCAGTTTTGAAAAAGGAAAAATTGCTGAAACTGAAAAATTAACAGATATACAGTGGAAATTCTTGTAATAGTAGTAGGTGATGTACTCTAGCGTTACCATTACTGAACAGATAGAGGCACCGAACATGCAACTTTGGACGTTTGCGTCAACTTTCTTCTTTTCTTTCTGTACAACTCCTTTGCGATCTTCCTTGGTATTTTAGTGCTCATTTTTTCCAACTTATCGATAATTTTTGATGGCACAAAAAAGGTGACAAGTTATCAATGCAATGAAAGCAAGAGACAGGAGCAGGAAAGGGGTCACTAGGCAACAAATGAA